TTGGTGTGTTGAGCGTGTAACGGTTGAATATTCCCTTTCAGGAGATGATTGGCCGCAAGTTTAAACCACTGTAACAAACCAATGCGTGCCGTACCCACATTTCTCACCAATTCCGTGTAGACCATATCTGGATTCAGACGTTTTAAACGTTTAATAAAATCTACCATCTCTTTCATTTGCTTGCTTTTTCGACCTCGAGCCAGAGGATCCGCTGTCTGTCTGTCTTTTTTTGTCTTCTTTGTTTGTTTCGTTGGGAATTGTTTGGTCTGGCGTGTTTTTTTCAAACTTCGACGTGGTTGTGGTTCTGGTGATGTTGGCATTGGGGGTGACTCTGGACGTAAATCTGGGGCCAGTGTAGAAAGCAGTCTGCGTGGAGTTGGTGGTAAAGGCGAGATGGGTCTTGGTGGCGGAGTTAAAGAGGGCAGTGGGGTGGGTTAAATGATTCTGCGTCTGGCTCCTGGAATGGTAGGTCGGGTAGGTACCCGAGCTGTTGGATCTCTGAGATCAGGGGCCAATGGGGCGAAAGGTACAAACTGAGCTCTTGGCAACCGAGTTGTCCCTGGGGGTGGTTGGTGAAGTCTTCTCGTGTTCTTGATGCGTGCCATGGTGAAATGGTCATTCAGGAAGTGATTGGCCCTTTTTATACTTTTCGGAGATAGACGAAGCCTGGAGCCTCTGAGGGTAAAATTCTTGTTCGCAATCTCATCTCTTCGGGTGTGTCGGGTTTTAAATCCACGAGCAAATAACTTCTGGGTGGTAAAGTGGCATCAGTGTAGGCTTCTTGCATGAATTGAGCATGTCCAGGATACATTTGTCGGGCTAACACACCCAACTGAGAAGCATCTCTAGGGTTTTTAAACAAGACCAAATAATGGGCATTGAGACTTATTGTGCGTTGTTTTTTATCAAACAAATTTTGCACAATGTAAATGACACTTGTGTTTCGGTGGTGACTCTTTTTCGTAAACCATTGTTCAAGGGCAGCCGTATCTTCGCCCATCAAATCATCGTCTACCAAAATTTGAGGCCCTGGCACTTGAGCCATGACATCATCGATATTTCCTAAGCCATGGACGTAAGTGTAAGAAAATGTTTCGTAAGACTGTTGCCATTCGCCATAGGCCCACACGGTTCGTTCGGGTACTGGGTCAAACATGTTGGCCTCCAACAATTTTTGAACAAAAACGGTTTTCCCAACACTTGTGGGACCGGAAACCAACATTGTGAATGGGTGTCTGAGTGCCGTGTCGAATTCCATGATGATTCTGACTTTGTCTGCAAAAGCCTCTCCTTTTTATAGGGCTTGGATAATCAAATTGTTACAAAGACCCCCAAGGAAAAACCAATGTTTGTTTCAAGAAATTTTATGTAACATTTTAAATTTTTACAATACAACATTTTAAATTTTTACAATACAACATATTAAATTTTTACAATATAACATTTTAAACAACATAACAAACGTATTTACAATATTTATATTTTTATTTATTTTAAAAAAGAACAAAGGTCTTCAAACAGGAAAATAACAGCAAACACAGCAAACACCGCAATCTATTCAGCTTTTTCTTCCACCTGCATGATTTGGTTGTATATCCAATAACATAGACTTTTTGGAACCCAATACATGTTTCCACACATCATTTGTAAGGCGTCATCCTGCATCCAATCTTTCAATTCCCCAAGTAACATAACCACTAGAGTCCAGGCATCATTTTTAAACGGCTCACTTAGTAAATGGTACAGGTTTCTAAATCCACGTGGACCCAATGGCACAATGATAGCTTTGGCCAATTCGTCGGTGGGTTCAATACTTGGAACTTCGGCAGCTTCTCCACACCAGTACCAATATCTTTGTATTCTGGCGTTATACAAGGAGCCTCGTTTGTTGAATAAAGTGTTTGTGAGGTCGTCGAAGGTGACTCTTTTTTCAATGGGCTGGCCACAATGAAACAATCCATGTCCGAGCTGGTGGCAGTTGAGGCATCGGTGGTTTTCTTCTGAGGGACGTTTGTTGTGGTTGTCTTCAGTGGAATGATTGTTGAGGTTATCTTCAGTGGAATGTTTGTGGGGGTTATCTTCAGAGGAGGAACTTTTGTTAACTTCAGTTTCTTCGGAGTTTTCTCCTTGGTTGTTGATGATTTTCTTTTGAGGACATTCGGATTTCCAGTGCCCTTCTTGTTGACATTGATAGCATTTTCCTTTTCTGGGTTGTTTGCGTTTGGGTTGTTGACAGTTACTGGCCCAATGTCCGCGTTGTTGACAGTTGTAACAGATGTCTTGACTGGTGTCTTTGTTTTCTTCTTGGTTAGTTTTTTCTCTTGTCCGCAAGGGGCACTCTGGGACCCAATGTCCTTTTTCTCCACAGTGGTAACATTCTCCATAGCTCCTTTTCTTATACATAGAGCGTACACGATCGGATTCC